GCCCCCAGAGGCTCAGCCCCCATCGCCACGGTCCGCCAGCCCCTGCCGGACACCAGGTACCAGCCGGCCGCTCAGGGAACCACGCCGTTTGTCCAGCACCTACTGTGTGCCAAGCACCTACTGTGCGCCAAGCACTGCCACACTAGGTGTCCCTACCACCCTGGGGGCGTTTTCTACCATAAGACCCAACTTCTGGGTGAGAAATGGGCTAAATAATAGGTCCAGACTCATTTAGCTGATAAAGCTGGCGGGGAATTCAGAGCCTGCCCTGCAGCCCTGTGAACGTCACGGGGGTGGGCACAGACGGGGGTAGGCACAGACGGGGGACCCACGGTGGGTTCAGGCCTCAGTCCCTTTAGGAGGTGCTGGCTGCCCTGGCCCAGGACAGTCCCCTCTCTGCCCACAGAGCCCGACAACGAGGCCCACATGCGCAGCGCGTCCCGGCCCTGCAGCCCCGTCCACCACCACGAGGGCCACACCAAGCTGGCCAGCAGTCCTCCTCGCGCGAGCCCCGTGAGGATGGGACCGGCCTACGTGCTCAAGAAAGGTGTGGAGGGCTGGCGGGAGGGTGGGCAGTGGGGCTGGGAGTGGGAGTCCCGCCTGTGGCCGTCGGGTTCGAGCCTTCCTTGCTGGGCTGGGCTGCGACTCTGAACCCCCGCCCCCCACCACTGGGACATGAGTGGGGGAGCCCCATCGTACTATAGACCATGGCCAGGAGCCAGGAGTGGAGTGTAGACCTAGTCACATGACGCAGAGATTTGACCCCACATCCTGGCCAAGCCCGAGGCCGGTCCTGGCCCCAGGCAGACCCAGGATTGGCTCCAGCTCCCTCTGTGCCCGCAGCCCAGGGGCTGAGCATGGGCAGCCGGCGGCGGAAGGAGCAGCGCTACCGCAGCGTCATCTCCGACATCTTCGATGGCTCCATCCTCAGCCTCGTGCAGTGTCTCACCTGTGACCGGGTGAGTGCCCTGCGCTGGGAGGGGCACTCCGCCTTCAGCAGCCTCAGTGGTCCTCGCTGGGGCTGGGGCTGGGGTGAGGAGCATGTTCTCCGCCTGAGGCCCCTGCCTTTCTCGAGGGGCAGGGCGCCCAGGCCCAGGGGTTGGGGAGCAGGCCCTCTGCCTCCCACCTGCCAGCCGGTGGCTGGGACTCGGTGCAGACTCTGCTTGGTCTGAGCAGGGCGGGATTCTGGAAGGTGGAGGCCCAGGCTGACCTTTGACTCCACAGGTGTCCACGACGGTGGAGACCTTCCAGGACCTGTCCCTGCCCATCCCGGGCAAGGAGGACCTGGCCAAGCTGCACTCGGCCATCTACCAGAACGCGCCGGCCAAGCCGGGCTCCTGCGGGGACAGCTACGCCGCCCAGGGCTGGCTGGCCTTCATCATGGAGTACATCCGACGGTAAGATCCCGCTGCCCTCCGAGACGCAAGACCGCCCCAGCCCCGCCTTCCTGGGACTCCCAGCCTGGGAGGCGACAGACCTTAAACAGCACAGCCCAGGTGTTTGTAGGGACGAGGGCAGGGTCGGGAAGGGAGCTGGAGGCTGAAGGATGTGTGGGAGTCAGCTAAGTGGGGGGTGTCCCTGTCCGCGCTGGGATGGCCCTTGGATTGGCAGGCAGGTAAGGACAGGAGCGACCAAGCACAGCTAGAAAGGAGGCCAGCGGGGGGAGGGCAGTGGCGGCGTTCCCTGACCGTGCCTGCTCTACCTGCCCAAGGACGGCCAGCGGGTCAGGGCCCCTCAGATGAGGGAAGCGAGGCTCGGGGCGAGATGAGGCCATTCTCCCAGGACACTGAGCTGCTGGCCGGTGGTCCCAGGTGCCTGGCTCCACCCACTGGGCCAAGATGCCTCAGCCCATAGGTCCCCAGCTCTTACCCTTGCTCAGGCCCTGGTCGCACCCGCCACCCCTTTTCTGTCCCCATAGGTTTGTGGTATCCTGTACCCCCAGCTGGTTCTGGGGGCCGGTCATCACCCTGGAAGACTGCCTCGCTGCCTTCTTTGCTGCGGATGAGCTGAAGGGTGAGTGGCCGGGCTGGCTTGGGCGGGGCAGCTGGGGCAGAATCCAGTTGGAGGTTTCTGGGACTCGCCTGTCAGCCTCCCACCCCTGCCCGCCGGGCTGGGCCGGGGGCTGCATGTCCACCCCGTCCACCACCTGGCAGCTCTCAGGGGCCCACCTGTTTTTCTCTCCTGTTAATCTGGTGGTAAAGACCATACCATGCTTTTGTCCTTGACTATTGCTGAGCGTGAACATGGTTTTCGCGAGTATATCAGCTGTTAGTATTTCTTATTTTGAAATTTCCCGTTTCTGTCCTTTTCCCATTTTCCTATTGAGTGTGGCCTGGACTCCCAGGACCGTGTTGAACAGGAGGGGTGAGATGGCGCCCTTGTCTTAGTCCTGCTTGTAGAGGAAGCTTCCAGCTTTTCACCGTGGAGTCTGATGTTAGCTGTGGCCTTGTCATACGTGGCCTTTCTACGTTGAGGTTGTGTTCCTTCTGTGCCCAGTTTGCCGAAATCCGTTTTCATGGAAAGATGGGCATTGGACTTTGTCAGGCGGCGTTTCTGAACCCAGCGAGGGGGCCCCGTGATGGTGCCCTTCACCCTGTGAAGGCGTGTGCCGCCTGGTGCACTCCTGCCTCTCACCTGTGTCGTGTTCTCCTGTCCTAGGTGACAACATGTACAGCTGTGAGCGGTGCAAAAAGTAAGTGTGTGCGTCCGGGGCTTCTCCCCGTTCCCCGTCTCTACCCTCTGCGGTCGGTACCAGCTCCACACACATCCCCCGGGGTCCCCTAGGGGTTCCATCCTGACCTCGCAGAGGTGAAGGGGTGG